ATGGAATATTTGGCCGCCGAAGTGTTGGAATTGGCCGGTAACGCTGCCCGTGACAACAAAAAGACTCGTATCATTCCTCGTCACTTGCAATTGGCCATCCGCAACGACGAAGAGTTGAACAAATTGCTTTCGGGTGTCAAAATCGCTCAAGGTGGTGTATTGCCAAACATTCAAGCAGTCTTGTTGCCAAAGAAGACCGAGACAAAAAAAGCCTAAACAGTTTATTTTTTACAAAGCGTAAATAAATCGGCCCTTTTAAGGGCCACCAAAATATATTTTATGGGGAATTCAAGAGAAAATCATCTTGTTGTCATTCTACTATTCATTTAAAAAAGGATTAGTAATTTGAGATTTTTATATTTTCATGAATATCAACGTAGAAATTTTGAAGTTCTATTAATGTGTATTGATAATGAAATATTTGATTTATGCCAATTCATAAAAAAAAGTCAGATTGAATAGATTCAATTAACAATTTGATTAGAACTAAAAAGAAAAAAATGCAGTTAAGTTTACTTTGAAACATGGTTCACTTTTTTATTTGGTATCGATTGCAGATCTGAGCATGAAGTAATGTTTATGGCTAATTTTAATCTAATGTTGGGAAATGTGAAGTCGGTGTTTTCCTGATTACAATTTCAATGCATTTTTGCAATCTGGCGGCATATTCACATTTGTCAGTGTGTCGAATCGGTCCACATTGTTTACGAAATTTGTCGGCAATCTTCGGATTATTGACAGTGAACTCCAATGCATCAACATTAAAACCACCATTCCAGATCTGAATTTTGATATCAGTACGAGAAGTTCATGTGATATGTTAAAATTCGAATTTTTTGTTCAGAACAGTATTATACTTACAACTTTCTGTACCGTCATTATACAATTCAGGTAACATTTATCGTCTTTGGTCAATAGGTCCAAATCAAAATCGGGAAGAGTCCTCGATTCGCTTTTGGGGAATTGCTTTTGACACGATCGAATTTGTCTAACTAGGATTTCATTTGCCTTTGAATAAAATTAAACATTCGAATTGTTAGTTTATCGATTTTTTTCAACTAAAATAAATAACTAATAAACAAATTTGAATCGTACCGAAACGGAAGCAAACAAAACACAAGCAACAAAAACGAATAAGCAGAACGAATTCATCTTTTGTTCAAATTCACAAGAAATTTCACAGTACTAGTGCGAATACAGTGAGTGTTCTAAGGAGACTGATGACAATTGCACGATATGCTTGCAATATATATACCAAATAATGAGGGATCTGGGCGAAAACCGGTAAAAATCACTGGATACTATGAAACAATTTAGAAGATTAATACACAATCATTCCACTTCATTACGCATCATTCTTGAGAGTGAAAATGTGCAATTCACTTGAAATCAAAGGCAACATCGTTGCTTGTGAAACATTAATCCAGCTCAAATTTGGTTTTGTTAAATTAAATCCAGACAATTGTAACTGATCATTGTCAACATGTCTGGGCCAATATGGTTGGCTGAGTTTATACGTAATTGAATGGTTTGGAGCCAAAATGTAATACAGAAAAGTTGAGCGGAAAAATATTAAATGAAAAGGAATAGCTATATAGTTCACTATAGTTTACTATACAGTTTACTATATACAGCTATCCCTTTTCCGCTCATTCATCATCGACATTTTTCCGCTCAACTTTTCTGTATTCCATTTTCGCTCCTAACCATTCAATTCGTATCATACTGGATAAAGTTAAATAATGCGATAAATGTAGCAACATAAAGTCAGTTTATACCGACTAGAGTCACTGATCTTGGTTTAAAAATGCCATGTATTACTCAATCTCAAACGAAGTGGCCGTTTAAGTCAATTTTGTAATCAATTTTGGTTTTTACCGTCAACAACCGGTATATGAACATACAGTGCGAGTGAAAATAAAAGTCACGACGATGTGTTGGTGTTTCAATTCTATACAAGATCATCAACCCGTCAGCAGAATCATATGATAGATGACCATAGCAAATATTAAATAATATGAGGATGACACATGACATGATTTTTAGAAAATAATATTTTGATCAAGTTTATTTAGATTCGACTTCGAATATATAGACAGTAGGTAAGGTTTGCATGAAAATGAAACAATTGCAGCTTCTTACAATGCAATCTATATAACAGATGGTGTTTGATTTTCAAAATAAAGGTGAATTTATTTCAAAAGTTTTTCATAAAGAGAATAGTGAAAAATATCGAAACACCGTTTACAGCTCGGAGGAGATTTTGGCGAGTAGGTGCACACTTCTCCTATCACAAAACTGGGAATCTATTTATTTAATCGGCGAAATGTTGTTATTTTTTTTTCGATTTCAATGCATCGTTCTTTCATAATCGGCTAGTAACCATTGCCTGGATTGTGCCATGATACGACAAACCTATTCAACGTGAAACATATTTTTTACTGTCATATTAACCAAATGTTACAGTTAACTCGATTTCTGAACATAGTAACCAGAAGCTTTCAATTGTATTTTTTGTCATACTGATGACCTAGCTGATGAACATTTTCGAAACGAAATATTCAATAGCTTTACAAACTACGATGTGAATAGACAAAATTCCAAAACAAATCTATTGACTAGATCGAGAGGAGAGTATGTGAAAAAATTCGAATATA